CAAAAGATTACACAATCGTAATTATAATCACATCTGTTCTGAATGTGGTAATATAACGGTCATTGAATATACTTAGTTGATTGGAACATGCTGAGTGCTCTGTATGTGTAAATCTCGTCAAAACCCAACCCGGATTAAGGAAGTGAATCATTGTTCCTCTTTATTTTTCCCACAACCTTTCCTTCAACACATCTCTCATATTTTTTTTCCTAGTACATATCCTCTTTTGATTTTGTATTTTCTTGAAATAATTCATGAAATAATATTATGATTTAGACATTTGCATCAATCTATTTTTAGAACTCATTTAAAAAAAAAAAAACGACAGTGTCCTAGGGAGTATATTTATTTCACACTCTTCCGGGCATCTGTTATTTTTAGCAGGATGCATGACCAACAGTGTGACTAATATAGAACTCATTTGCATACCCCATTGTTCGTCTGCTATCGCTAATTATTTGCCTGGCAGTTGTATATATCTTGTACAGTGATGTTTGCTCCATGCTGTTGTGATTTCCCGATTTCCCGTTGCTGTTTGTACTGGCGTTGATTTGAAAAATTGTCACAGTGGAAGGTAAATTTTCATTCCTAGTTGTCAATGTAAACCCTCATCTGTCTTATTGACTGTTTAACTGTGTATCCAGCATTGATGTATCTGGACTGTAGGCAATGTGTAGATGAATCCTTAATACTTGATTATCCCTGTGAAAGCTAATGGATGTTCGTGAATGACCTGGAAAAATGCTTATGAATATGTTTGTTGGTTTATCAAGCTGAGACGTGTGTTCATCGACAGTCTGTATACATTAGACATATTTCCACGCTAATTGCCTCAACTGAATCGGAGAATAACAAAAAAAAACAAGTCATGGCGATGAATGTCAATCTATGCTTATCATAGACTTAACGGTATTTATTTTCATTGATGCTGAAAGCACCATTGTTTTATTCTAATTGCTCATTTGTATATTTTTTTGGAAAATTAGGGTAGAATTGCAAGGATATTATTGAACCGAAATCATCGTCTGATCAATTCACTCTCGGTGTCATTGTACAGTATAGTGATGAAATAGTGTTAGAAATCAACAATGATTTTTAGGATTAATTTTTCTCGCTGTTGAAATTGAATAGTCAGTTCTTACAATCCTAGAAGATTTCATATTAATTAGAACATTTCTTGATGAAAACTTTTCTAAATTATATTTTGGTTGACAATTCATTGGATCAAGGGAAGGTTAAATTCAGGAATGAGCCCAACAAGAATGTGTACATAAACAAACTTAACTTGTTTCCATGCCCATGGCGTTTAAGCGCCAAATTGTGAAATAGCAAAGCTGGCTACTGTAAAATGACTAATTTTCACAGGGTTTAAATTTCGCTGATTTACCATTTCAGGCATATTCAGTGGGTTTTAAATTCCCGATTTGTATCATTTAGATAATGCGATCTATGCTGAATTTTACATATTCACTGGGTTTTAATTTAGCGCATTTTCCAGTCAGTGAAATAAGCAAAATTAAAACCCAGTGAATAATTAATCCTTTTACAGTATTATATTAAACTTGGTAAAATGATTCTTGTTCATGCTCGCCAGATTTTCAATAATTCTGATGACTTATAAAATCTAGAATCATTTTTTGTGAAGAAGTTTAAGGCGGAGAAGGAGGAGAAAAAATCGCACTATAGGTTAAACTGTGGGAGGGTAATATGAGAGTGTTCATAGATAAATTTGGATTGAGTGCTTGATCAAATTAAAAAAAATCTGGCAATAGTACTTATTCTACAATATTAATCAGAATTACTGGTACATCTCTAGTGTTACTTAAAAATTAGTAGTTTAGTGGGCCGACACAGTGACCATGAATCTAGACAGATTAGCATAAGTATTAAAAGCTTTTGGCCTATTATTTCCATGGTGATTTCGTTGATGCCTACTTATCCCATAGGATATATACTGTGCAGAATAATATATTTTTGTTCACCATTGATTTGAAAAACGTACGTCTGATAATTTTGATGGAGTACAGCTATTAACAGGTAAATATTATACGTAGTTTTTATATTATGTGTAGCGTCTGTTTCAATGTATGGATGCATTGTACAGTTGCTTTAATGAACTGTACCTTTTAAAAATTGAATTAAATCACAATTTCTGAGTCAGCGACTTGCTGAGCATGTGTCTATTTGAAAATTTACAAGCAACAAAAGCCTTTGATTACTTTTAAATTGTGTGATAAAGCAATTAGTATCTGAGAGTCGTGTCTGAGTGACATCGCATGCCCCTTACTCGTCACAGGCAGTAATTCTCGATTACCTGTGTAGAGAAATGTACGTTAGAAACCCTGGCAGGCGTAAAGCGGAGTACACTCGGTGATTCAGATGTGTGAATACGTCTAATTGATGTAGATGACTTCGTCAGCGCATGTAGCCATTACTCGTGCCACAATCACAGTCTTTTTTTTTTATTTGCTTTCTCGTAAAAAGAAATGGAAGGGGTGATTAAAGACGAGTGTAAAATGCTTAAATTAACTTTTTGATTGACAAGCAGAAACCAGATTTGTTCTAAAATGTGTGAAATTTGCAAGACATTTTGGATAACATTGTACTTGTCCACATCTATTTAATTTTTTTTAAATTGATCACATTGACCAATTGGTGAAAAAAAAAAGAAATAAGTGGCAAAAAATTGTGCACTTTAGGTCATTGCATTCGGTTTATTGTAGATACATGGTGAAAGCCATACGGATAGTCGATATGAATGGTATATAACGACATCAGCACAAGTTACGTAGAAATAGTTGTACCATTCTGACTTGAATCCTGAAGCACAGACATGTATGTACTGTTGATCAAACATAGCTTCTTTTAAGCACATCTGTCAAGTTCAGATTCATCTAGAAAATACCTTGCTATGCTACTCCCAATGCTGTATAATTCTTTATTTTTGCCTAGAATTAATTTTCGCTATTTTCACTGAAGGAATGATTCAGTGAAAATAAAATCCAGCTAATATACCCTTTTTCCTATATTTTACATTCAACCTGACAAAAATCAGTGAAAATAAATTCCGCACAAAACACCCAAAAGGTTTTTTCAACGAAAATTAATTCCAGGTAAAATAAAATATTTTACAGTATTAGAGAGAGTTTCACACTTTTTGCAGCTCAAAATGTTTAATTGTTTCTGGGCAAATATGCAGTTATCTCAAGCGTAAAATCAGTTTTCCGAAGAATACTTTGTAACCGTAGCATGTTTACGGAGGCTCTAATGAACTGTACTAAGTCCGCAGGTTAACAACCTTGTCGTTTGAGGTACATGTTGAAAAAAAAAAATAGTCGTTATTGCTACACGGCTAACGAGATTGCATTCAGCTATGGGTCATTATTAGCCCCAAGTGCATTACAGTAAAGACTTATGATTAGATGCAAGTGTTCTTGTGGGATGGTCTTAGTTACCTTGCTGACTAAAGTTGGAATTACTCTGTGATAGCCATATAATCTCTGGAGACTCTTGATAAAGTTCTTGTTTTCACACAATAATCTGTATTTTAGCGCATATTTAATGTGTAGAAGTGGGCGTTAGATCCAAAATAAATGTTGACGTACATATCTGTCAATTTGAATAAAATCTGTGCATTAAATGTCAGTAATGTCGTAAACTTTAAAAAAATGTTTTTTCGTCCATCCTTCTTTAATACATGGACATGAGGCTCTCTCAGTTCTAATTTCTTTGATCAAGGGACTGCCACCGAGTTACAAATTCACAGAAGATGAGAAGGTACTTGCCTGGAAGCCCCACCTGAATGCCTCGATGTCTTTTCAGTACCTATTTCACATCTCCAATTAGTCTAAGGCATTTTTAGAAATTTTGACCTTGAAATTGGGTGTCTTCAGAGTACTAAGCTAAAATAATGAGCTCTTTCAGGCTTGTACATGTACATGCATCAGTCGAATGGTAATTATTAGTGCACCTGTTTAAGGGCCTGTCTTTGAAATCGATATTTCATTAAATGTGCCATTTTGAAATTTGATGGTATATTAAACTTAGGTCTCAAATCACGAAGATCATTCTATCTCAAATGTAATTTTATAGGCTTATATTTTCAGCATTCTCAGTCAACATGAGTTCAATCTCAGTAAAGGTTTGCAATGTACGGTTTTTGTTGGCTCGCACAAATTTGTCTCAAAATCAGAACAGAAGTGTAATTCAAGATTGCTATGTGCGATATTTTGGTTTGTGACAAAGTGATGTAAAATTACTTTATTAATAGCAGGAATTAATTTTCTCTGAAAAGACTTTTTGGATGTTTTGTATGGAGTTTAATTTCACAGATTTCACTCTGCGAATTTCATTAGTGTTGTCTTTCACTTTACGGATATATTGCAATCGGTGAACGAACCATACACAATAATGAGTTTCTACTGTCTGTTCACCAATTAATATGTTTTCATATTGGTTGTGATCACTTAAATTCAGGAATAATGGACCACAAGCTGGCTGTCCATCATTGCAGGATAACAGAGCAAAGACAGGGATGTATACAGTAATGAGCAAGACACAGTCAAGCGAACATTTCCATCTGAGCTCTGTTATCTTGTAATAATGTGCATCCATTATGTCAATACTCCAAAATTTCAAAAAATTGAATATACAAACAGTGGAAGCTTGAAAAGTAAGAATTCAACAGTATGGTTTGAGTCAGGTTTTGTTTTTGTTTTAAACAGTCCTTACAAATGTTAATGAACAAATAGAATATTGTTGATTTTACATGCAATTTTTTCCCATGCGTTCCTACATTGACCCCCCAAGCACTGTAAAAATATTATCTGATCACTGAACAGCGAGTGGTACCAATCAACCAATGAGAACAGACCATCGCAACGCTCAATTATATGTAGATTAGAATGTATAAACCTATCAGAACTGCTTTATACTTATAATAACCAGTAATTATTTAATATATAATAATTTTTTTTATCTCTTTTCTTATTTCTTTCCAGTCGCTGATATTTGATGAGGTAGACTTAGCTGAGTTTAGCGTCGCTGAGAATAGTATAAAAAATATTAATAATAGTTTTACTGTAAGTATCCTTCATTATTATGTGTACATCTGCAGGACACTTGTATTCTCTATTGTAGATCACAGCGTGTCTTGATTTTGTGGTCTTAAACTAGAATTCAGCGTCCGGCTATATTAGGAAATGTAAATAATTTTGATGTTAGTTTTCAAGATGGTGGACATATTGAACGAAATGTATCGAGAAAAGTTGCGCTATTATCATTTAGATGAGAAAGATGTATAATCGCATTTATCAAAAGAGAAAATGCATTTTTAATGGATGACGTATCTATCTCTTTCATGAATTCAATGTCTCAAAAAAATAATTATCTGACATCACATAAACCAAATTATTTCCATGGTATTATTTTAAAAGTAATTTATAATCTGTTTCAATGAGCCGTAAATGACATGCAAATTAACCAATCCATTATATTGATTACGTTTTCTTCTACTCCGCTGATATAATTAATACCCCCCTTGCATCTTTCCTTAACATCATCTCTTACATCGTTAATGGAGGCAATCTATACTTAACTTCAATTATTCATGCAAATTATACAATAAGCATGAAATGCGGTATGCGGTGGTTGCAGCACCCAGAAGCCACACGCGTTTATTACGTTTATTTATCCCCTTATATATGCAAATATATATGAAATGGATGCCAAAGCCCCATCGTGAATACATTGACCGCCCAGGAAAAACCAGATATAAAAACCCGTCAAGGGAGAAAAACATCTGGAAACCTGTACCCGACGCAATGTCAGATGTACCTAGGGGTGGACGTCGGGAGTCGTCCATATTAAGAATACTATACATTTATAAAAATGAAATAAAAAATACATGGTGAGTTGTTTGCAACCGAGACTGAATACAATAGATTACTCTTCTTACTATATACTCATGAGCACCTGGCTACTTAGCCACTAACCAATTGGAGGAGGTGCAATGGCACCTGAATTATTTACATACGAATAGATAGCAATTATCTGCTAATCTACGAAACGCAGATAATTTCTCAATCTATACTTAACTTCAATTATTCATACAAATTATACAACAAGCATGAAATGCGGTATGCGGTGGTTGCAGCACCGAAATCTGAAGATATATAGCAATGTGCAACGTCTTAGGTGGACAGGCGACGTCCTCTGACAAATTTGACTTGCACCATTGTTTCCATCTGAGCCAACTGCCGGTGTACTTGCTCAAAGTATTACCGGATCTAGGCGCCAACATCACAAAGGGCAGAGTGTCGCAGAAGTCATCCAATCCTGGTTTGCTAAGTTCGGCCTTCCAATCCTGTATCTGAAAGACATCTAAAACTACACAATTTTT